ATTATATTCACTTATACACAAATACGCTTGGGAAAAGTAAGAATACACCTATTCTCCTCCTAGCTATGGTTTAATTAGTAATACTAAATCATTATTTTATATAAAATTCTTACAATCTAAAAATATTTTCTGGTAAAGGGTTGATAAGCTGTAGAAAACAAATTAATCAAATCAAACCAGACAACTTGTTCTTTTTCAAGATATCTATCCTATATATCCTTATAATGTGACTTTTTACTCCCTCCTTCCTCTTCCCTTACAACAATTTCATTGTCATCCTCTACCTTGAGTGGCCCCTGGGGCTTATGCTGAGGGAGCTAAAAAAAAAAAAAAAAAAAGGCTTTGGTGAATCTATAACCATTTTTCAGAACAATAGTTATGTAGAGTATATCCAAGTACTAGTCTATATCAAGAGTCATGCTTGGGATCATTGAGAGTTCTGGCCCACCTTTGGCAGAAGATGAATTTTTCTGCATCATAATACCAAAAGCCATCCATCTGTATTGCCAGCCACACACACACACACACACACACAGATGTATTAACAGGCAAGGAGTTGGTAGAAGGAAGTGGGGTGAGAGCTGAGCTGTTAGACCTACATAGCAGAATTTATCCCAAGTATCACCTACCAAACTGGAAGAGCAGCTGAAGCCCTGAATAAAATATCTATATCTAATATGAGAAACAGGGTTAGTGTTATTTCTTAACATGGTGTTTTTGTCTTTCATTGTGCCACCTTGTGAGCATGCAGTGGACCCTTTCCCATCTATTGGTGCACACAGACGAGAACGAAAATTGAAATGCAACATGGAGGTAATCAATGGTTGGTTGATTATGTAAAGCTTTGGTGAAGGTTGAATTGTTTACACAAGTCTGTATTTTTCGTCTGAAACATCAACCCAAGAACATGATAATCAGATAATGTCTTGGTAAATAAAACATAGATCAAGTTAGTTATTTGAAAAAACTATTACTCACCAGGCATTAAGGGCCTTTTTCCATAGGGTTTCTTCATGTGCCAGAAACAGAGGGGCAGAATTCTCTTGAGATGCTCGCAAAATGTCCTTTGATATGGTTACATTTGGGTACCCAGGTAACTGTGAAATAAAAATTGTATATTTGATTTACTTCTTCACATTAATTTTTTTTTTTTTTTTTTTTATTTCCCCGAATGACTTTAATTTGCACAAATTTATTGTAGTTATTAAATTTTACATTTTAAAAGAAACCATTTATTTTACTCAAGAAACATTTTCCCACATAATCACCTTCCTTGTCAATGCACTTAATCCAACACTTCTGCTGTTATGGATGTATTTGTAAATCTTTATGAAACTTATATTGCTTCATGATGTTAATTTCTGAAACCATGTTTGCTGATAGACTGATTTATTTTTTTACAGCTTATCAACCCTTTACAGTTTATTTAAAGCTAGAAAATATTTTTAGATGGTAAGATTTTTTATTTTTTTTTAAAAATGATTTAGTGGTACAAGTCTTAAACCGGTGAAGAAACAAAGAAAGAAAAAAAAATTATAGTATGTATATCAAGTGGGAGTCAATACTGTATCACAATGAATATATAAACTGACTCCCTCCCCACCCTTTGTGGCCACAGTAGTTTCTATGCAATTATATTCCAAAGAATATAAACAAATCTAAAAGATATACTTGTATAATTAATCAGTATTTGATTGATTGTTTTTTTTTTATGGATTATCAACCATTTGCAGGTTATTTATTTTTAGTGTGTCAGAATTTTGGGGGAGAATGATTTAGTGATACACATCTTACTAATTTAACCCATAACTGGGGGGAAAAGGTCAATTTATACTAGTGATGGGATGATTAATTGGAATCGGAGAATCAGAAGTATTGGAATCGGAGAATCAGAAGTATCGGAACTTTTTGGGGTGTTAGAATTGGCAAATTTTTAACTAATCTTTGATTCCAAAAATGTTTCTTTGGATTTTTTGTTTTAATTTTTTTTTTTTTTTTTTTATTTAATTTTAATTTTTCATTTTTGGTACTAATGATAAAAAGAGATATTTATTGATTTTAAACTACCAGTAAAACTAAAATCTATAGATCATAATAATACCTAAATATGATGTAAATTTATTTTACTTGTGTGGGTAAAAAAAAAAAAAAAAAAAAAAAAGTGAAAGTTTCTATTGAGTTCTTGGAACCATCCAGAAAGTTCACTATTTTAAAGTCTGTTTCTGTTCAAAGTAAAAAGTTAATTCACCCTTTAGCTTCCAATCAGAGCTAAAAATGAAAGTTTCAAGAAAGCTTTTGCATTTTTAAAAAATTCATTTTAAACCTTACATATACCAAATTAGTACCTAGTTTAATCCATAAAATCATTTTTTTTTTATCTTGGTTATTGAAAAGAATTATTTCTGTTTACATAGCATACTACGTAAACAAAAATAAATTTTTTCAGAACAGATTTTCATCTATTTACTAAAAAAAAAAAAAAAAAAAAAAAAAAAAAGCTTATTTGGAGTTTCCTGAAAAAAAGTATATCACACAAAAGTTTGAATTAAAATGCCTAAAATTTAATTTCCATCAAAAATTGTATTTAATTTTATTTTTCTAATATTTTTCTTGGGCATAATTCAAGTTTCCTGTGTTACGGCATTTAAAATATCTAACTTTTTTCATTTATTCTTCTTTGGAGCCAAATGAGATGCAAATTTTATAAGTTGTAGCGTATAAAAAAAGTTAGAAATGAGTGTTTTTATCCAGTTTTTATCTGGCATGATTAAGCCAGTTTTTCACCCCATTTTTAACAGGATTTGTTTTAATATTAAAAATAAAGCTAGTAAAAGTTCATCTAATAATCTAATAACTGGAAAAAAAAAAAAAAAAAAAAAAAAAAAGTAATCAAACGCAAAAAATATACATTCACAGTCCTTATTATGAAGATTTTAATCATTTTAATCTTATTTTAATGCTTTAAATCAAATCAATTAAATTTGAATATGTTGAATTTCATACTTTATAAAACGATTAAGTTGGATATCAGCATTATTTAGCTTTCAACTTCCTAATATTTTTTTAAATTTAAATTTTTTTATTGTAAAGTTTGCTAAAATTGTCTATATCTCAAAAAAAAAAAAAAAAAAAAAAAAAAAAAAAAAAAATAAGAACACCATTGGAAAGTTCGTAAACTTAAGGAATCAGCACATATTCTAAGCCACAAAAATCTCTTGAGCCGACCAAGCATAGAAATGAATACAATATGGGGACCAGTAATAAGGAGTGCCAGAGAAAAGTGATAACAACAAAAATTGCAATATGAGCTCTGGTAAAAACATACAACGATAAAACAGCAAAAATTGCAATATGAACACAGGTAAAAAAAAAAAGAAAGGTTGCTGAAGATATTAGGTTTATAATACCCAGAAATTCATACACAGATGTCCTCAAGGACACATGGCACAGTGGATAAAGGCGTTGGTTAGAACCAGTGAGTTCAATACCTGGTTAAGGCAGAGAACTTTGAGAGGGAAATTGACAAGAGATAACATTAAACATGACACGTGGAACTAGAACAGTCTATCCCATCGAGTGAAATAATGGGTCCAGTTCTACAATCCAGCAACCTGAAGACCAGAGCATACAACGGCTGAAACGTTGTAATAAATATGGTGACAAAGATGAGGGCAATAGTCTGAATAATGTAAATAATGTGCTTTGTAACAGTTGAATCTCATAGCTTATAAAGTGATTAATATTTTTTTAAATTTATATTGTAAAGATTGCTTATATATCATCAATCAATCAAGGGATACGTTTTTATTGTGTTGCTGCACTTTAACACTTTTTCTTTTAACAAAAATATTGATGGTTTTAAGAAATTATTAAATTTTTAGTTGTGAGTCAAAAATTTGCTTGAGGATGAAATGGAACTAATGTCTTTAATTTAATTACAAAATTAAATTCGAAGCTTTTAGCTTCCATTTTTGAAACATGGTTAGAACAGTGTAGCAACAAAAAAAAAAAAAAAACATTTTAAATCAATTAATTTATAAAATTAATGCTCTGTAAATTTATATTGTGCACTATTTTGTAAAAATAAAAATATCTATAAGAACACTGGATTATATATATCTTACTGTTCTTTCTTTTTATATATATATATATATATATATATATATATATATATATAAGGGTGTCTCATGCTTTTTAAGTGCATGCTGTATTTGAATTGTCAACCCTAAATTTGTTCCATTCATTGAAAAAAATGCCACATAAAATTTTGACGTGATTATAATATTTAGAGGGTTCCTTTGCTTATTAAATATTAAAAGGTGGAAAAAAAAAAAAAAAAAAAAAAAAAAGACATTTTACAATTAATAGCAAACTACTATTAGTTGAATCTTTATAAATTATACATATCAGAAAACCAGAAACTTTTTTTTTTTTTATTGAGCAGTGAAAAATTTTAATTTTAACTGAAGTTTTATTTTCAGACCCCAATTATGGCAAGCAGATCCAATGCCAAGCAGAAAAGTGTAATTTGCAAGTTTAAGATTTCTGATGATAACCAAAGTAAAGCAATATATCAACTGTAGCTAAGGTACTTAAGTGATTTATGTAAAAAAATTGTTCTCTTTGTTGTTGAAATTCTTACCCAATTTTTTAAATAAGAATATCTAACTTTATTACATCAGCTTTGTATTTATTTTTCTACTAAATGTTTTATTAATAAATGCACTTTTTGTTCATTTAGTTTCTCAAACCAATTTACATAGCGTGTGAAAATAATGATTTTTAATCATTGAAGGTATCAGAACTGGGAATTGGAAATTTAGAACAGTATTGGGAATTGTATCGGAATTGGTAAAAATATTGGTATCGTCCCATCACTAATTCATACCTTTTCAAAAGGTATTTGTGCGTAAGTGAATATAACCTAACAGGAATTTGAACTTAGCTCCCCAATTAACAATTTCAGGCCATTATCCATTACACCACCTGCACATCTAAACTTACAACACCTGGTATTCCCAAGCAGTCACCCATCTAGGTACTGACCAAGTTCGATATTGCTTAACTTCAGTGATTGTACGGGGGAACTGGTGTTACTATGTTTGTAATACAGAGGATGAAAAAGTAAAATTATCATAGATAAATTACCTTATTTTCCTGTGCATCATGGGAATCAACTGGAACATGGACTAGGTCTCCGTTTCTTTCCCCCAGGGTGACAAAATCCTGAGCAGGGACAGGAGGAAAGGCATTAAGAGTCAACATTTTCACCTGGAAGATAAAAAGAAACAGAAATGGACCAGAGAAAAAAAATATTAATAATGTTGACTGCGGAGAAATATGATCAGGAAAAAATATAAATTATTTATTTCTTGTCACTGTGCAATGCACAATGAAACTGGACATCATAGCACCAAATGAAGAAAATACTTTTTTATTAATAACCTTTTCATTTTTTTTAAATCAAGTTCGCCCAAAGCAAGGCATTAAAGCCACTAAGGCACAACATTACTAAGGAGTGAATACAAAAGAGTAATGGTGTAGATAATGATTAACATTGCCTTTATACTTTGGGTAATTCCATATAAAATCATCCAGAAAAATGCAAAGTTGTCACCCTTACCTTATAGATTTTCTTCAAATTTTAACCAGTGATAGGTATTATTAAAACAAGATAATCCTGAAAATTTAAGCCTACAATTCCAAACAGTTCTTAAAATATACCATTTTGAATATTTTGTGTGAAAGGAAACTTGCAAGAAAACCGTTTATTTTTATTTTTTTTTTAGATTTGAATATTTCTTGTGAGATTGTTTTTGTCTCTTTACTGTTGTACTATTTGGTATTTTATGATCATTTGACCTAATAAAAGCCTTAAAAAGACTAAGGCATGAAAAGAGTGTCACTTTAGTCACTCATTCATCTTGTCTTACTGAAAAATCCATTGTTATTGGACTTCCTTAGAGTGTATTCTGGAGATTATGTATAAGGTCTATATATCAAGGGCCAGAAAAAATGCCCATTTTTTATTGTTAATTGTGGGGAATGATGAAAACACGATTTCATTTTCAATTCCATTCATGATTGTCATATGGGGAACACTTTAAAAAAAAATTTTCATTTACCTATAGTGCCACATAATTTTTTTTTGAGATATTTCCTACATGCCCAAATTTACTCAAATTGTTGTATAGTTAAAAAATGGTTGACTTCAAGGTGTTTTTGATGTTTTGGGATTTCTCGACCTTCAAAAACTTTCCTGTGTAAATTTTCATGGCTCTAGAATGTCTGAACGGAATTTTATTGAAGAAAAAGGGATTTTGTAATGCCACGGTTTTCTCATGAATCGCGTTTCATGTGAAATCTTTAAAATGGCATATTTTCTGAACCGCTTAGACTCTCAAATTTTCAGGATTGTCTTGTTTTAATGATACCTACCACTGATTAATTATTTGAAGAAAATCCGTGAGGTGAGGGTGACAGTCTGAATGATTTGATATGGAATTACTCCACTTGTATCATGCAACTATTGAAGACCTAATTTTGAAGCTAATTTTAAGGGGGCAGCATCATACACACGATATAAAATTAGAGTATGTGCTGCTGTCCTGGCTATGGCGTTGACCAAACTATATATCCATTATCTACGGTAACTAAAAACATTCCTTAATAAAAAGAAGGGATTATAAAAAGTGGGGGATCAACTTTATATTGTTCTTTAGTATTGGCCATAGTAGATTCATAGATAAAATTCCAAAACATTATCAGTAATCAAATGAAAGGATGATAGAAAGTGAGGGATCAGTTTTGTATTTTAATTTAGTATTAAACACATCCCTCATTTCTTGGCCACTTGCTATCCAATTCTATAATCGAGACAGGATTTAAATGACTTCAAAAATATTCTTATAGGTTGGTTTGTTATATATACATTATATACTCTTGTATCATGTGACTTTTGAAGATCTAATATTGAAGCTAATTTTAAAGGGGTCGCATCATACACAAAGATATAAAATTAGTGCATGTGCTGCTGTCCCTGTCTATGCCGTTGACCGAACTAAATATCCATTTACTGTACTCAAATTAGTTTCAAAATTAGTTCTTCAATGGTTGCATGATACGCAAGTATATATGGTAATTTTTTTTAAGATTAATGTTGTCTGGAAAACATGGAGCCGGAAAGGAGTTCCACAAGCGAGAAAAGAAACTGTCAGCATAGAACATACGGTTACATGTAGCCTACTCAACTGTAAATTGGTGAGACCTTGTTGCCAGTTTAAGTACTGTGCTTATATTCATAAGGTCTAGGAACCGTAGCAAAGAGCTCATCTGAAGAGTATGAGTGACATTGCATTTAAATTTTTTAAGATCAAAGTTGACTGGGAAGCAAGAAACCAGAAGAGAGTTCCATATAAGTGAGAAGTGTGATAGAAGAAATTGTTACCATAGAACTTGCAGTTACATCTAGCCATTTCAAATGTAAAATGATGAGACCTTAGCGCCAATCTAGTACTGCACTTAAATTCATAATGTCTAAGTACTGAAGTAGTAAGGTAATCAGAATAATTACCATAAAAATATAAAAAAGGCACAGGTAAGCTATATTACATTGAAAAGTGACTGAAGCCGAGATACCAGGTCAAGACTGTTAACATTGCAGATTCTTAATCATTTTTGCCAATTACACTTAACCATGGCCAATTACTCCAGATGAGCCTTAATATCTTAAAAAAATTTTTTTACTGATTTCAGATGTTCTAATGTTTTAATAGGTCTAAATGTGTAATGAAATTTTACTTTGTACTAAATTTTAATTCCCACATTAGTAACAAGGTTGTGAACCCCATACACAACAACAGAATGAAAAATGATTCTTTTCTAAATGTTTGAAAGTGAATAAAATTATTTAAAAACAATAAAATATGTTTAAGTAAATATTTGAATAACTTTATAAAAATCATCTCACTCCAAGCAAAGCAGTAAAGCCACTAGGATGCTAGAGAATATGAAGAAAAAAAAAAAAAAAACGCTATCAAAGAGAGAGAACAATAAAAGAACAGGAATTAAGACAAAAGATAATGTTTGACATTGCATATAAATTTTTAAAGATCAAAGTTGACCGGGAAGCAAGAAGCCAGAAGAGAGTTCCATAAGAGAGAAATAATAATTAAAAAACAACACATTGGGTATAATTAAATATTCTATGACATCAAACAGGTATGAAAATAAAAGCAAGATATTAATCTCAAAATAATCATTTAATTAAAGGAAAAATAATTTTTATGTAAAATAGAAAATAAAATTATTCATTCTATTATGTTTCATAAATATTATAGAATAAAAAAATATTTTTAAACTATATTAGATTAAACAGAATTTATTTTAAAACAAATGCCTGTGTTGTTGATTATTGCACTGCTGAGGTTCTGTATTTCTTTTATATTTTTTATATTATTTCTTTTTTTATTCTTTTTTTTTATTTTTTGTGTATATTTCAAGTCAGGGTGTGGAATTATAGGTTTTTTTTTTGTTTTTTGTTTTTTTTTACTTTTAACATCTGCTGGCACCCATCAAGCTATTGTGTGAAGAAACATTTTTCATTAAGTTTTAAAAAAGTAAACATTTCCTCTTACAAAATCCACTTAATAATTAAATTTACTAATTAAATTACTTTGAAACATAAATATTGGATTTTTTAAATTTGTTTACATTTTTTGTTTATAATGGCAATATTTAAAAAAATGACTAAAAATTTTATTTATATATGGAAATTAATTTTATTTTTAATTTGCATTAGCTTTTTAGGTTGTAAAAACCAAAATTTATAAAAAAAAAAAAAAAAAAAAAAAAAGGTATTTTTAAATTATTTAAAATGCATTTTTTTTTTTTTTTAAAGGAAGTCCATGACGGTACCTAATAATAATAATAAAAAAAAAAAATATATGAATTTTGGAAAATTCAGTAAAAGTTTTACACTGAAATTATTTTCTACTTGGAAACTTTTTAAAATAAAAGCATGACTTTGTAACCGAAATATTTTAATTTTTATCATTATGTTGAGTGTTATCAAAAGCTTAAAATCCTTAAAAAAAATAAAAAAATAAAATAAAAATATGCAATTTAAAAATACCTTTTGATTTTTTTTTTTTTAAAAATATAAATTTCGGTTTTTACAACCTAAAAAGCTAATCCAAATTAAAAATAAAATTAATTTCCATATATAAATAAAATTTTTAGTCAAAAGCTTAAAAATTTTAAGCTTTTGATAATAATACTCAACATATATTTAAGTTAAAAAATAAACGAGTAACATTGGAGATGTATACCTAATTGGGTAATTTGCAGTTCAAGACCTGTGCTCAGTTATTAATAAAAATTTTCCGAATAGTTACATTTAGTTGTAAATGTACATGCTTAATTCAAAAATAAGAAACTTTGATAAAATCTATGGTTTTTTTGGAGTTATCAACAATAAAAGTTCGGACTTGTTTGTGTTGCGGCTACTACACGGCAGTCATTTACTGGAATTGTTTGCATACATTTGCCATGGAAAAGCTATATGCAGAAGCTTCACGTGTCTTGATTATTGCACATGCAATGCACAAACTTTGCACGAAATTTAAAAAGAGCATAATTATTTAAATTATGTGCGTAATTTAAAAAATAACAAAAAAAAAAAAATGCTAGAAAAGGAATTAATTAATAATAAGAAGAATAAAAAAAAAGCTAGAAAAAGAAAGAACAACTTTTCTTTAAGGTTCAAATTTTTTGGTAAATTTGGTAATTTTGACAAGGTAGGGAAATTCGGTAACTATGAAATCAATTTAAAATCGATTTTAGGGGAGTGGGGATTTGGTGGCTAAGCCCCCTCCTCTATATTTTTGAACTAGAAATGAGCCTATCTTTATATAGTTATAAAAAAAAAAAAACAAAAAAAAAAACTTCATTTCTTTATCCTTTCAGGCACGTAATTTTGATTTTATTTATTTTTTTTTTTTTCCATTTTTATTTTTTACTGTTACATTTGGAATCGCGCATTCATTTTAAACTTCGCGCAGTAACCAAGACAAGTGAAGCTTCCATGCCGCATCACTACCAGA